TACTTTATATCTATCTATCTATCTATCTATCTATCTATCTATATATCTATCTATCTATCTATCTATCTATCTATCTATCTATCTATCTATCTATCTATATATCTATCTATCTATCTATCTATCTATCTATCTATCTATCTATCTAGCTATCTATTCTCCTACGACTTTTAGTTCTCCTGGCCGTTTCGTTAATGGTATCAATACCAAATTTGGTATGGCTGAACATGGCTGTATGACAAGCATAATTGACTAGTCATAACATGAATATCATGATATGTATGTCATGAATGTCTTGATTTACATTTCATGGTCTTGTTGCTCTTGCCGTGGTTTCGTTCACATCACATTTGCAAAACATGTATGGTATGACATGACTGCATAGCAAACACACGTGACACACCCTAACGTGGAAATCATGCATGTCATGTAAGTCATGAGTCATGACTACACGCCATTCTCATGATGCGCTCGCAGCCGTCTGGCTAGCTTCACATATACTAAATTGCGTATTACGTGACGTGAATGGATGACGAAGGTATGTGACTGGTGCAAACATGATAACTGTGCGACGCGTGTCATGTAACAACACGACTACATGCCACACTCATGATGCCCTCGCGGCCGTTTCGCTAGCTTCCCATAGACCAAATTTGGTATTACGGGACGTGAATGGACGACGAAGGGATGTGACTGGTGCAAACATGATCATCATGATTGATTGATATGTGGGGTTTAACGTCCCAAAACCACTATATGATTATGAGAGACGCCGTAGTGGAGGGCTCCGGAAATTTAGACCACCTGGGGTTCTTTAACGTGCACCCAAATCTGAGCACACGGGCCTACGACATTTCCGCCTCCATCGGAAATGCAGCCGCCGCAGCCGGGATTCGAACTCGCGCCCTGCGGGTCAGCAGCCGAGTACCTTAGCCACTAGACCACCGCGGCGGGGCCATGATCATCATGTGATGCGCGTCATGTAACAACATGAATACATGCTACGCTCGTGATGCGCTCGCGGCCGTTTCGCTAGCTTCACGTGTACCAAATTGAGTATTACGTGACGCGAACCGACGACAAGTGTAAATGACATGTCCAAACATGATAATCATGACATGCGTGTCATGTAACGACATGACTACATACCGCACTCTTGAGGCGCGCGGGGCCGTTTCGCTAGATTCACATATGCCAAATATGGCATTATGTCACGCGAATGGATGACGAAGGCATGTGACAGGGGCAAACATAATTATGAGATGCGTGTCATGTAAGAGCATGACTGCATGCCACACTCAAGACGCCAATACATTTAGAAGTGACCCGGTGCGCGCGTGCTCCAGCGTTGGTTTCGTCGCGTCATGCCGGCGATGCCATTGCCAGGCACCGATCTGCCTGGCATATACCCGCAGGCACGCGCCTCACTGCGTTGCGCGTTTGAGCACGCCCGGCGTCCCTCCGTCACGACGCTGGGCAGACGCGGTGCATTCTGGGTAACGTCAACGGCGCGAAATGCAAATGTCGCATTTCGCGCCTGTTTCCGCCGGGCCGAGCCGACAGACGCTGGTCGCGTCTGGCGTCAGACTATAGAGCGTTCGCTAGCGTAGCGTCGCTGCGCCCAGCGTGCGCGCGTCGCAGTACATTGGGCCCTTCATGATGCTCTCCCCGTCGTTTCGCTAGCTTCACATATAGCAAGTTTGGTATTACGGGACGTGAATGGACGACGAAGGTATGTGACGGGTGCAAACATGAGAATCATGAGATGTGTGTCATGTAACAAACACGACCACATGCCCCGCTCACGATGTGCTCGCGGTCGTTTCTCTAGCTCCAAATTTGGTATTGCATGACGTCAATAGACACGAAGTTGATTGATATGTGGGGTTTAACGTCCCAAAACCACTATATGATTATGAGAGACGCCGTAGTGGAGGGCTCCGGAAATTTAGACCACCTGGGGTTCTTTAACGTGCACCCAAATCTGAGTACACGGGCCTACAACATTTCCGCCTCCATCGGAAATGCAGCCGCCGCAGCCGGGATTCGAACCCGCGCCCTGCGGGTCAGCAGCCGAGTACCTTAGCCACTAGACCACCGCGGCGGGGCGATAGACACGAAGTTAAATGACACGACCGAACATGATAATAATTATATGTGTGTCTTGTAAAAGATGACTACACGATACGCTATAGCGTGCTCGCGGCCGTTTCACTAGTTCCCCCCATATACCAAATTTGGTATTACGTGAGGTGAATGAATGACGAATGTTAAGGACAGGTTCAAACGTGATAATCATGAACGTGATAACCATGACATGCGTGTCATATAAATCTGGACTACATGCTACGCTTATAGCAAGCTCGCGGCCGTTTCGCTATCTCCACATATATCAAATATGGTATCAGGGGGCGTGAATAGATGATGAAGGTAAATGACACGTCCAAACATGATAACTGTGACATGGAAGTCATGTACGGCATAATTTACCTCCGCCTCGTAACGGTTGCGCTGATTTTTAACTGACATATAAACCTTCCTCATTCGTGATTCGCATATCATCGATTCCCACTGCACGTGGAATCTGCCAATTTTTTTAGGGTCCTGTACGTACATGAACTGCCCACAATATTACCAACGAATAATTTATGAGAAACGTGGAGCTTTTTACCTACGAAAATGCGTGGACCACGTGCATTACGGTCACGCCCTGCTAAACCGAGATGCGTCGTGATAGCTTTAAGGGTTTTTTTATAACAGGAAATGCAATTCTAAGTGCAAGTGCAGAAGATTTTACGAAAGTTGTGTGTTCAGTACGGCGGATTCTCATAATACGGCATTCGTGCATTTCACGCAACGCGCTTTTTTTATCGAAGCTACGCGCGTAAACACGAACGCACGCACATCACTGGTCGCTGCTTCTCTGAGTATAGTTCATATTTTTCGTCTTTCTCCCCGTTTATATCTTCGCATACTTGTGTTCGTGTATTAAGCCCATGCAAAATATTGGGAAAATGGGAGGTGTTTACGGTACGCAACGACACAGCCGAAATTGACGCAGCCCATTTTTTTCGCACGCGCGCCCAAACAACCACAAAAAGAAGCGTAGCGCACAATGCCGCAGCAGAAAGGCGGGCCCTGAAGAGGGGCGAATTTCCAGAACGAAAGGATTGCCCAAGTCGAACGGAAGGAAGCACGACATATCAGGCGAGTTCGTTGGTCGAGACGCGTCGCACCCCCTCTCGGAAAAAAGACGCCGACCGATACGCATCCGCCGGCTAAGTACCGACGGCCGAAGACAGCTACCGGCCGGAACGCGTCCAGTTTTTCAGCGGGAAGACCCGTTCTCCCTCTTCCTTTGAAGAATGAAATAAACATCCGCAGAACGCGGCTTAGCTGCCATTTGGGGGAGAAACCAGATCAACTTCTTAGATCCGACGTCCATTAGAATGACACAGGGTTACCGTGGTAGAAGGCACGCACACTGGACAGGCACGGAGCATTTCTCCGTGGGAGAGGCACTATCCTTACAGTCCTCGTCTGCTGCGCATTTACTCTGTGACGTGCTACATCAAAAAGCCCAGAGTGATGATACCTTAGCGCCCATTAACGTGCGCGTGAATTACATTTGCCGAGAAAGGCGGCGTCCGTTGCGCTGCTAAGCAATCCGCACTTGCTTGCGCCCAGACCCTGATGTACCACTGGATAATTTTTCGACCTGTTGCCTACCTTTCTGCATGACGTTATAAGGATTTGATTTGATTTTATATGTGGGGTTTAACGTCCCAAAACCACCATATGATTATGAGAGACGCCGTATAGTGCAGGGCTCCGGAGATTTCAACCACCTGGGGCTCTTTAACGTGCACCCAAATCTGAGCACACGGGCCTACACCATTTTAGCCTCCATCGAAAATGCAGCCGCCGCAGCCGGGATTCGATCCCGCGACCTGCAGGTCAGCAGTCGAGTACCTTGGCCACTAGACCACCGCAGCGGGGCATGACGTTATTAGGACATCAAGCTGGTTCAATGTGAAGGCGCTAGAGGGGGAAAAAAAAAACATGTTTTTCTGACGCGCAGCACCTCCACGGTCTTGTCTGAGCATGTAAGTCGGTATTGTCGATGTTTAGCGACTCTAGTGAATCTGCATAGTGGACACTGCAGCCCGTATCCTGTTCAGCATCGATGCGTTCGCACACAACTGCTAGTGCGGCAGTTCGAGCACCCCTGTCGGCTTCGCGTACACACCGAACTCCTCCATTGCGAAAGACAGCCACAGGTGCGTTCTAAACCCAGGAAATCCGTCACTCGTTGGGCATCACAATGCAGCTATCGACATCCGCTGTGACCCCCGTCACCGACGTCGAACAAACGATATTGTGCGGCGTTTCGCGAGAATGTTACCCGCGATACGTGCGAGAGACAGTCCGTTAGATACAGGTTAACTTCAACTTATAGCGTTGAACGATAAGCAGAGCAATGCGACGCCGCTAAAAATGCCGGTCTCTGTTCGCGGTGGCGACGTAACAAGTGTGCGTCGTCTTCCCGAGTCCGCGACCACTCCGCCAGTGCGCGAACGTCATCGCCAGGCAGGGATATAAAACTCGCGATCACACGTTGTGGCCCGTAGCGAGGAATGCAGCTCGCAGGAGGGGGGTGCGCGGAAAAAAAAATCAAAGAAAGGAAGAAGCCGTCGGTTCTCCTCCATCGGGCATCGCGGTGGGCAGCGGCGCGATACGGTTCAGTGGGAAATGTCAGCCGTCCTGACAGCTCGGTGCGATTCGCAACGCACTGGCCAGCACAGCTCTCGAGGCAGGCGGCGGCGGCGTCGTCGTTCGCGCGTGAGATCGTTGCCCCCCGTGACTGCGAGAGAAGGCAGGTGACGCAGGCCCCTAGCGCTGCGTCAACGGCCGTAGCTACAGCGTCCCTGCGTACGGAGGGATGTGCAGGCGGCACCGGCTTCGAAGCAGGCGGGTTTGATGCGAAGAAGCGAGCCACTCACCCGAACCATACAGAGGCGCCGATCAGCGCGCGCAGAACCGCACAGGCACGGTCGGCGCGGGCAGCGTAATCCAAGGCACTCACACACGCACCACCACGACGAGCACAGGCGACCTTCGCCGGCCCTTCAGGCACATCGTATTCCCGCATCCGGCGCCCTGCTGCCGCTGCTGGCTGGGCTGCCGCGACGCCGCCGCCGCAGCCGCCATGCTGGGAGGGTTCGCCGGCCGATGGCTGCTGCTGTGCTGCTGCTCGCCACTACTGAGAGCGGCGGACGTCGCCGCGAGATGATGCCCCTCCCTGCCTCCCTCCCTCCGCTAGCAACCCCCGGCGAGCACAGGCAGGTGGCCGGCGCCTCCCCGGCCGCCGCGCCCTCCGTCGGCGCACGGCGAAAGCGCTCGCGGCACGTCTCGCCTACCCGTGGGCTCGCAGCACCGAACAGCTGTTCCGTCTCAATGGATCCGGACGGTGAGTCCGACCTTCGGGGGTCGCTGGCACCGAGGCACAACGCCACCAATGGGTCGGCACCAGGGCGCCCAAATCGCGACCCGGGCGCCAGCAGTTGTGGGACGGTGCCACGCGCCGGCACCCGGATGTTTGTGTGGTTGGGGGGAAATTTCGCGTGGCGTGAAAGTGCTTTTGGTTGTCGTTCATCGGCTGCACGGTTTCCGTCGTTAGATAGGGCCTCAAACTTCGCGAAATCGGGTGAACTGTGCTCAAGGAAGGTGTGGTTGAGGGTTGGGGCTAGTTGGTAACATAATATGTGAACGTGTGCGGCGCTTGGGACGAGACATTTTCGTTTTTCCTCCATGGAACGAAACAACAGAGTAGAAGTACCTGTATTTACTCGAGTGTAACGTGATCTTCCTTCCCAAATTTTCGCTACCTTAAGTCTGCATTCGCGTTACAATCAAATACCCGAAATGCATTTTTTTTCTTCTTCCTGCACTCAATGAACAGCCACCCCTTCGCACTACAATCGACCACTTAAAAATATGGTAACTTAGTTCGCCCTGTCTACTGCTCTGGTGGCCGTATCTCGTCTCAAGCGTGTATTGTACTTTGTATGCCGTTCTCAAATGCTGGGAAATGTGCGGCGTTTGCACAGCTCGGAATCGTGCCCCACGGGGTGGAGGACGCCATCGCAACAGCGTTCTTGGCAAACTCGGAAGCTGATAAAGTAAAGATTCGCGCGCGTACCGTCTTTTCTCGCGTTTGCCAATGCACCGCTGTGAACATTCCTTCTCTCTTTAATTGTTCACTTATTAAATTTGCGATCGCGCAGATTTACCATGCGCTCGCGTACGCAGAGAATACCAACGAGAAAAGTGCGGAAATGCAGTGCTACATGGACAGTCGTTAGTTTCGCAACAAGTTGAAAAGTAGCGTGTGATAAAGGATCCCAAATTAGTCGCCGAAGTGCCATGCTTTAACGGTCACTAGAGGTATTTAAACAAGCATCCGGTAACTTACTCCCGCGCCGAAGAAACCGGTCTGTCCGAACAGATCCGCGGGGAGATAGCTTGGATCCTCTTCTTTTTTTATTGTTTATTTCCTCCCGAGTTTCGTTCGTTCCCGAAAGCCGAGGGAGAATGCCAACGCTTCGCTTTTTTACCGACCAGCGTTTTTTTTTTTTATTTATTAGTAGTTACAACAGAACAATGCGAAATAGTGAGAAGATTAAAAAATGAGGGGGGGGGGGGGGAGTCCGATTGGAGTATGACTGCCTTCCGTCTTTGAAGTTCACTCATTCGGAAGCAAACGTTTAATACTGCAATGCAAAATAAGCAATCCTTCGCGCCGAAACTCAAAGCACGCAAGCACGTCATTATGATGTCACTGGTTTCACCGTAGTTTCTACATATAAGGGTAGTTTTGGAACTGCTCCAGATATCTAAACTCGCCAAAATCCGTCTTTATTATTATTGTTGTTTTGTTGTTGTTGTTGTCGTCGTTGTTGTTGTTGTTGTTGTCGTCGTTGTTGTTGTTGTTGTTGTTGTTGTTGTTGTTGTTGTTGTTGTTGTTGTTGTTGTTGTTGTTGTTTCCTTCAGCAACTTACAGTTAACTAAGCCAGAGTAGATTAAAAAACATGGCTGATTCATTAGTCATATCGGTATAACTAGAAAGTAATACGTTTCTTCCCCAAGGTAGCTGATAGTCTATGGTTCATTAATGGGCGAGCGCTTGTACAATGTCTGCTGGATTTTGGCTGATATAGCGCCGTTTGACCAGGATGCACACACGTTGACGTCTCTATAGGGGTACACCTCCGTCAAGACGGCTAACGCCCATGATCATGATTTAACCATTGTGGTATCTGCAAGTATAGTTAACACGTATTCAGATACAGAATATCATGAGCCTCGCTCTATGATTGCATCAGCAAGCACCAAAAAAATGTAAGTTTCGCCGCAATGGTGAAGTAGGTGAATGCGATAGCTACAAGGTTGGAATGTTACGCGCTCGAAGAAAAACAAGCAGCTCAAAACTTGCAGCTTGCTGCTTCAAGCACAATGGATGTATCGAAAGAACACACACAAGACGAGGGTGAACTAGAAACTGTCCACAGCCCGACACCTAAAGCGTGCTGCTCAAACACAAAGCGAAACGCGTAAACGAAACGAACGAACGAGCTTCGAACTAACAACTGTCACAGTTGTCTCTTTATGTTTGAGAAACGCGCTGTAAATCAAAGTACAGATGGTGAAAGGTATATGTAAACTGGTAGCGTAACTCCCACAGAATCCCATGCATACAATATTTGGTGGCCCGTTGCCACCGTCGCCATCTACGTTTAGAGAATACGTCTAACAGGAACCAAAAATATAAAAATAAAATGTGTTTGAGCATTGCGCTCCTTCCGCAAACGCGGCCGCTGCAACGAGCGATGTGTACCTCATCCGTCTCACACAAGGCACGTGTCATACCCCAGAGGTAGAGAAGAATCTTAGCCAGCATCAGCGCCTCGTCCCACATGTAGTGCGTGCTGACGTGCTCGAATAATACGAGCCATTATTCGACGTTCGTGCTGTACGTCCCTGCGGCAAAACGTGCCAGAGTCGAGAAGATGGGAAGGGATCACAGGTGACGGAGCCGGCGCAGACTGCGACGCTTGGGTGTCGGTTTCAGGCATCGCGGCTTGACAAAGGTGGCGTGCACTGTGGAGTTCCAGAGCCGGGTAGTGTGAAGACCCCGCACCTTCCACCAAAAAGATGTTACGGGGAAGACATATTCGCTGACGGCGGGTCTAGCTAACGCCGTGCAAATTGCACAGTTCTGCAGGCCAACATGGTATAGTTCGAGAGTCCAACCTACAACAACCTAAGTTGTTGTCTTCCTCCTTTTTGGGTGTCCTTTCAGTGCCTGTGCAGGAGCGACAGTTCCATACACGTATCAGTATCCGTGGCGAAAGTTTTGTCAGCACTACCTTTGTTTTGACGTCGCGCTGCTCGGCCTACGCCGCTTGCGACGCCAATCTGACGGTTTAGGAGCAGGTGCTGATCCCCCTCGATGACACTCTTCAAGGATTTGCCGGCTTTTTGGACGCCGACGGAAATGATAACGCCGGAGAAAGGCGGCACGGTGACCTGCTCTTCTATTACATTCAATGCGTGGTTCTCTGGCGTCGTGTATATAGGGCGGCAGCTTTTTCTCTGAGGTTAGTGTTATTGATTCAGACTTCAGGTCGATGACGGCGCCATGGGACTTAGGAAGTCATCCCAATTATCACGTCCCTGGAGCAATTGTTGTAGGATAACAATGCTCGCAAGACAAGTCCGGTTGTTGACTGCGACTCTGGCTGTGCAAACTCCTACCGACGTTATCAGGTGGCCTCCAGCAGTCCGGATTTCGTGTCTTCAAACGATAACGCAGGGAAAGTCGGTGGCTCCCTTGGCTGCTGCATTACGATCGCGGGCTGTGGCACAGCGGTTGTCATCGTTAGCGCAGTCGAGGTCATGGCCTTGGTTTTCCACGTTTTGTCTTGTACCACCCGTGCTCCTGTGGTAGACCTTGCTGCATGCGGCTTGTTCGCTGCTCGTGGCCAGCGTCGGTGTCTTCGCCATGTGGGCTGGGTTCACGGCTTGATGGTGTTATTCCCGTCTCCAGCAGGCGCCATGCTGTCGCTGCGAAACGTAGCCGGGCAGCGCTCCCACGCCCGGAACCCCAGTTCTCTCGGAACCAGCGTCCAGCGGCGGGGAGCGACAAAGGAATTAGAACACGGTCCGTGAGCCAATGTTCCTACAAGCAATTTCTCCGGGCCGGCTTGTTTAGCGAAATGGCAAAGCAGACCGACCGCACAGATCGTGTCTCCACGATTCAAGTATCTACTCCTTGGCTGCCATTCCTGGGAAAGGCGGAAGAAGCAACCCAACTGCCAAATTGTTCCGGGAAGGAACCCCCATTTCTCCCTCTTCTCAGAGCATTGCGTCAAGAGATGCAATAACTATTCGGCGGACCGTGCGTTACTGACCGATGCACTGTAGGTGGTGTTTTGTGTGTGCGATTAGTGTTCCACTCAAGGAGGATGAGCCCGACAGGGCTTAAAACGTCGCCGCAGAGTGCTGGACATCGCTCTGAACCATGTAACGGTTCAACCACCACGCTCGTGGTTTGTGAACTCCTAACCTCATGCTGTAAATAATTGTAAATAGTGCCATAAACCTGTTTGTTTTTCTTATCCCCATCTTGTCAGCATTCGTTTCCACCACCCGAAGTTACACCACGCTACCACAAGAGACCGGGTAGACCCTCGATTCTCAACAACGGGGGCATGAGCGAAGCCGCACCTCCACCAGATTTCACGGGGTCGGGACGCGGACGAAGGGAGTAGACTGTAGGTAAGATATGAAGCTGTTTATTCGGCTGAACTTGCGGCCAGGAAACTGAATGTTAGACTACATCAATACAAACTGGCACTGATAGCGGCGAACACAGCGTCGGCAATCGATCAACTGACAAGTGGTGAAGAGCGTCGGCATTTATACACGTGCCCTGGAATATTCTAGTGCTATCGCTAGCGCCCGCGTAGGCTCCAGAATAATCTGCAATGTTCGCGAAGTGGGCGTAATCTCAAAACTATCTACTACAGTCCTGAAGTTTCTCGAACACTGCAGGCGTACGTATGAACGCTGAATCTTGAGCAATATTGGTGGGTGCTATGGATGGAGTCGGCTGTTTGGAGCATCGTTTGACAACTTTGGTGCCGTTTAAAGTACCGTTAAGGGCGCACGAACAGACAAATGTACAGACAGACAGACCAAAATTTCTGCGTCGAAGGTCCCCAAGAAAGGTCTTAAAAAAAAAAAAACACATGTGCCCGCTGGAATCCCGTGCGCTCTGCTGTCTGCCGTGGTCTCCACCACCGACGGAATCCGCGCCCTCTCGCGGTTCATAGTGGTTCATTTTGCTGGGGAGCGCGGCGATTGGGACAGCCGGAGAGAAACACGCCGCGCGCCCGCCGTCTCGGA